CATAATTATAAAAATTGTTCATTGTGATAAATGAAATAATAATTTGATCTAAGTAAGATTTTTTTTCTTCCCGATTTGTAAAAAACTTTACGTGATAGAAAAAAAATGAATATTATTTTCGAAATCTGCGTAGTTGAATTATGAAAAATCCGTTATTAAAACCAAAACAACTTTTGTGAACTTTAAATTCGCAGGCCTGTATAATACAACAAAAGGAATCCAGATTTTTGGCAACGAAGTTTACACTGCAACTTCTAGTGACGATATTTATACTGTCGCTCTGTTTACGGCATTTACTTTATCAGTACGCTATTTTTATTTTTGGGGATAACAGGACACCAATCAGGGAATCTCAGCTACGCAGTCCTACAGTTGACCATTGGGCTGCGCTCAGCTATGTTGGTCCAGTAACGTTGAAATTCATACAGTATAATGAAACATAAGGTGTAATCCAAAATATTGCTAATGTGTGGTAGTGAACCTTAGCTCTTTCCTAGAAGCCCCCCAGTAGCACAGCGGTATGTCTGCGGATTTACAACGCTAGAAACCGGGTTTCGATATCCGTGGTGGGCAGAGCACAGATAACCCATTGTGTAGCTTTGTGCTAAACTTCAAACAGACAAACAAACTTTCCTAGAAAACCATTGTTTGTAAAATCATTCTCATTATTTGGAAATATTTTATCTATTTCAATTGATTGCAAAGTTTACTAAAAATATATTTTCTGAGTAGTATATAAAATTCGTTCTTCTTTTTTCGTATTATTAGGAAAGCTTTTATCGGGAACTAAAACTAAAATGATTTGCAGCAATTCATTTTCAATTTCAGTTATCTCGACGTCCTATGCCCCAGCCTTGATGGCTCAATGGTAGATCTAATGCCTTTTAACGCTACAAATCGCTTTTTGATCCCCGCAGTGGGCAGAGTATAGATAGCCCATTGCGAAGCTTTGTGCTTAATCACAAACAAACGACGCCTTACTGTATTTTTGAACTTTTGATGAGTACTGGTATTAGGTGAAGACCTCGTTTGCACTGGATATGGCTAATGTATTGTTACGACAGCGGAAGTCACGTGACTCTGGTGGCGCGCGTGATGAATTTCTCGAATGATCTGGAAAGTCGGAGTGTTTTGACGTAGCCCTCTTCGTTAGTATATAAGCCTGGCAGTAGAAAGCCAGCGGGGCGGGATATATAAATGAAGAGCGAGCAGTAGTTACTTTGAGTTCTGTGTAATTTATGATTCTGTTAGTTTTGAGCTAGTGAGCCCTAAAGTGTGTGTTTTGCACTCGTCGAAAGCGAAGATATCGAGATTGTGAATTGCTGTGATTTATAGCGTGTTTTATATAAGTTATTAAGTTTAAAGTGACGAGAAATGTACTGAT